GGGTTGTTCCTTTCCGTGGGCAAGATCGCCCTTGGAGTCGGATGCGTGTCAGTCCTGCATGACATGTCAGAGGTGCTGCGGGGAGTTTGTACCGGGCTGGGGAGGGCAGGCAGGTAACCCGCCACGGAGAGAGCTGGCTGCGGGACGCAGATCTGCCCTTGCGTTTCAGGGAGAGTGAGCTTCTGAAAAGACAATGGTTAGGAAAGCACCTGGGGAGGACACAGCAGGGGAAGGTCAGGTTTGGCAGAGCTTGCATGCACCCAAATATTCAATAGACAGGTTTGAAAAGAGCTAGACTGGTCTATAAAAATGCCAGAGCTCAAGAAGCACAGAGAACTGGGTGTGGTTTCAATGAAAAGTTCATGTCTGATTCTAAAAGATGAATTAGGAATGCAGGGGTAATTTTTCTTTCTCCAAAGTCATTCAGTGGTTTAGGAGCCTTCTTCCCACTTGCAGCGATGTCCAAGCTCCCAAGGGCCAAATTCCCACAGTGACCTGAGTCCACCACGTGGGACATTCACAAACTCGGGGGCTGCAGCACTCTCAGGGGTGTGCGTGGAGCCACGCTTAGGGCTAACTAACGGGGATAGCAGGGAATGAATCTTCAAGTATTCCCTGCATATTAGAGCTCAATTTGAGGCCAAATTCCACTCACCATGTCACTGTTGTATCCCATAGTCCTAAAAGCCCTTGTTACTTGTGTCTCCTACATCACTGCTGCGTAGCGTGCACCAGGCTTCAAGTCCCGCTGCAGTGACCCGCGTGGCACCTGTGGGACCCCGTCCCCCCGAGTCTCCTCTGCGGAGCCTCCCCTGCACATCACCCCTAACCCTTCAAAGGTGAATATCTATCATCCAGCCTCTCCTGATGAAGCTCTTCAGTGGCATATAAATAATTCAATATTCATTAGAGCAGAAGTTTGAAACCTGCTTCCTCCACAAGTGCCCGGATCACCAAATGAGCAAGTCAGTTTGTCTTTTTTCCTCTCTTGCTGTGGGCTAGTGAGTAATTATTTACACTGAGTAGAAGAGCCTCACCAGGAGAGCTTGACCCCAAGAGATCGTCCCTCAGGGAGAAGGGAGACCTGGCTTTAAAGCTCTCTTCCAGATCGGACAACGGGAGCATATTAATTCTCGCCACCATGTCTCAGGGGAGGGCTGCAGCCGCTGGGACATTGGATAAATTGATCCTGGCTTAGGCGTCTCATACCAGGAATCCCAAATGAAGGGAAGTATCTCCTTGCAGCCTGGAAGGAGGCTTTGAAACCCTCTACATTTCCCTTTAGCTCCCCAGGCAGCCTGGCAGCATTCCTGGAGGGTGCTGGCAGTGTGTCATGTAATATGTAAGTTGTCACGGCAGGTAGTGCTGCCGCCTCCTACCAGTGTATGTAACACGACTGTCGCATCTGCCCTTTGGGACCCCTTCCCACGTCTTTCTAAGGGTATGTCAGCACTGGGACAGGACACATACCTGATGCTCGGCTCCAAAATAGCTCTTGGCTGCCCCACATGGAGCTGGCTGGCTTAGTTCATGGAAAGATACTTGCACCTATTTCTGTCCGTGTGGGATAAAGCATGACGGCGCGACAACAAGCTCCCAGCTGATCACATGCAGGAGCGGCACGGCTGGTATTGTGCCCTACTGTGGAAATATCATGTAAAAAGAGCAGGTTACAGATCTCTTAGCACATTAGCTTCCATTTTTTTTTTTTTAAATGAGGACTCTTTTAAATTATTTACTCTTCAATAAGTTGGTGATACCTTTCTTGAAGAAATTAAGAGCAGATACAGCTACTGCTCCCAGGCTCCAGAGGTTAACATTCATGCAGCGCAATGTGATCCTCCCTGAATTAATGCACGGCGGCACAATGTAAATACAAGGGGTGAAGCGTGAGGCTGCTTTCTCAAATATTTGGGATGTCTAGCACTTGACCCTTTTACAGTGCATCAGAGGCATTGTGGCTTCCCGTGCCTGGGAAAAGGGGAAGATAGGGAAAATGGGGAGCGCCGCCGCCCCAGCCAGATGTCTCCCAGAAAATGCAGCAGTTCGTTGCCATCTCAGTTGAACTGGCTAGTGTGTTTGAGAGACACTCTACCAAAAGCCACATTTGAGAGAGGGCTGGGGCTTATTACAAATCCAGGAACCACTTTAGTCCTCTCCTTACCCGGAGCTTCCCAAGTCTGACATTTTCCAGCAGCAGTGTTTGTACCTGTATTAGTGTCACGGGATACTGCCGTGCTCTTAAAACACGTATCTGTTGCCTGATGGGCCAAAAATCCCATTTGGATTGTTGCTAAGGTTTTAGCAATTTTTATAGTAGTTCCTGCACATATACAAATTTCAATTAAATGTAGTTAAATTGGATACACGGTTTCCCTATATGTTCAGTTTTGATTAGCAGAAAATGTACAGGATCTAGACATTGGATAACAGGAATGATTCACATGTAATTCAACTTTTAGGAGACATTTTTAATGTTCCCCAGTGATTTACAAATCAACTCTAATTGGCTGAGAAGTAAAAATGTGTATGATTGCCTTCCCATCCTGAGAAGTCCTCCTGGAATTTAAAGGTTGAATTGACCTGGTTTCTTTCTTAGCTCGTGTATCACAAGATATAAAGAATCCATCATCAGACCTTTTCTAACCCTCCTGTTGGTGAAGTGCGAGCCAGAGCTGCTTCCACAGAGCTAATGACTTCATGGGACTGACGGCAGCAGAAGTCAGAAACGTATTTGGGTCAGGAAGGAGCCGTTGGCTTTGGATGCTGCCCAGACATTTCCAAATGAGCCACATGCGACTGATTCACCTTCACTGATGCATTGCAGGGAGCCTCGCAGATACCAAGGAGATGGGGGAGATATAAGAGTTAATACAGAATAGAAAATATATGCAAAGCCTGCATTAGGAAGATACCATCTTCATACAGCCATCTTTCAGAGGGCTTTAACACCACCTTACATGGGTCCCATATTCCCCATGCTGTGACAGTGCAAAAGAAACCCCTGCCACTGTTTAAACCAAAAAACCAAAAAAGTTTCACAGCCAGAAACTGCATTGAGAGGATAAACAAGAGTAGAGCTTCAAAACTCAGTGCAGTATCAGGGCTAAGCACGTTGGCAAATCAGCCGCCGTGGGGTGCTCAGTAGGTTCTGCATTGTACTATACTGAGTATATATTGAGCTGTATACACTAAGCCAAGCTGCAATCAGCAAAACTTTTGTCTTTTGTGCGCTTATAGACCAACCTGTACCCGGCTGACAGCTTGTCTGGCAGGTGCAGCTGTGGGACCCTTGGGACCCACCCCAGACACCCTGCTCTGCCCCAGCACCCAGGCTGTCACCAGACAGCTCCTCGTTTGTGTTAGGAGCGGATCAGCCCATTGCTGCAGTCTGAGGAGCTGCCAGTGCCTGTTTCCAGCTGCCACCAGCTTATCTATGCGTTTTTTGCCGATTAGCTTTTTTGTTTCATGTGCTGTCTGCATGCAAAGGTGGGTCACTGAGTGCCTGTGATGGTTTGTCACCTTTTGTCCTACTAATTTCTACTCCTGCTCTCCCCTGGTACCAGCAGCAGTTGAAAGAGGAACAGACTAATTATCTCCAGCTCTGACATCTCTGCCGTGCATGAAGCCCCGCTCAGGCTGACTCCAAAATCACCCTCCGCCCAGGGCAGAAAGCATCTGTTGCCCTTGGACTTCACTCTGTCCCCTTTCCCCCTGCCCTGCTTTACGTCTCTGCTCTGCCAGATAAGTCTGAAGCTGGTACTTCCAACCTTTTGCCACCCAGGGATTTTATTGCCTGCTGGAGAGAAGCTCAGAGTCAGTAAATGATGGATGACCTATGGGTCAAGTCCCGCTGTTAGGTTCAACTGCCATCATGGCATATTCCAGCAAACTCCTCCTTAATTTTTCCAAATGAAACCAATCTTGACCCTGTTTGGGTTTGCTGTTTGTTACCACTTTGGCTTAGGAATCGGAGGTGGCTTTTGGTAAGAAGGATGGCTGTCCCTAGAAGAAATGCAGGGATGCATGCAGGACTGAGGTTCAACTCACAGGTCTGCTCCCGACTCCTGGCATGACCTTGAGTAATGCTCAGCTGTAACACAGAGAGGAGAGTTCCCTAACTTGGCAGGGTGTTGTACGGGTGAAATCTTGGCAGGACTCAGCGACACCCACATGACTGCCTGATAGGTGAAGTACTTAAATCTGGTAGCATGTTTAAGACCTCTCCTTCCCTCCCCTGCCCAGTCCTCTCAGCTGCCTAAAATATTAGCTCTGAAGGTTAGAGGGGTCTTGGTCTAGTTTGTTGGTAACAACATGGTACATTTTAACAAGTTGTCTGGGTTTTAAAATCGTTTCCCAGCAATCAGAAATAGGAAGGGATGCTTGGAATTGAGTAGTTTTCCAGCTGAGATTATCTTTTCAAGAGAAAATTACGAGCCCTTCCTCCTGTCTTGCCCTGGTCACTGATTTCCCTGCTGTGTCCTCTTTCCTGGACGTACCTTCAGGAAGACCGTGTTTGTTGCTGATCTCTGACTAGCTGCACCAAACCAGATATTTTTACTTGTAAAGGCTTCCTTCCCTAAGTTAGGGACATCAGCAGCAAAATTTTCCCTGTCTAGGCATCCTGAAATGTGGTTGTTATTTGCAGGCTTAGACCAAGCATTCAAAGTAGGGCAGCAGAGCAATATGCTACACCCATGCTTTTCTTTGAAAATACAGCAGCAAAGGCTTGCATTTGGGATGCCTCCGGGAGTGAGCGCCCGGCTCCTGCTGAGTGCCAGCGGGCAGCGGGAGCTGACAAGCTCGGGAGCCACCACCTCTGATGCAGGCGGGAAACCACCAGTGAGGGGACCACAGTTTAAAACCCCTCTTGAAAGCAACCCTCAGAGGGAGCTGGAAATATTCATGCAAAATGCTTGGGAGACATGATCTCACCTGAAAATGGGGAAGTTCTTGTCTGCAGAACAGGGACTGGCTTCTTGCTGCCTCCCCAAGTGGTTAAAGGGCTCTTGACTCCCCATTTCAAGGACTTAGTCCATCATACAGCCTGATGGTCTGGCTCACGAACCAACACAGACCTCTAGGACAGAGAAGGAATCCCTTCAGGGCTGTTCCTCATCTCAGACCAGAGCATTTCTATCTCCACGATCTCATTTTCCTGTAGATGACAGCAGTTACCTGAAGGTGTCTTTGCTCTGTGCAAGGCTACAGCTTCACTGACTTCTGACGGTGCCAACTGCTGGTCCAGAGCCACGATGTTGATGCTTCACCCCGCTGGTCAGCAGCCTCTCGCCAGCCACAGACCAGCAGGCAGTGGAGCTGGCAGCTGCGGCTCCGGAGGAGCATTTGTGGGCTGCCTGCGGTTACGTGCTCGGCAGGGGCTGGGGGCTGCTGCTTCGCACAGAGGCAGGAGCCCACCTCTCAGCCGAGTTGGCA